TTATCTTCTCTTTTTTACTCATCGACGTTGAAATCAGGGTATCGAGATATACAAATCTCGACCTATCCTCTACGGTTGCGGCGATTTCGTAGACGACTACGCCGTAGATCCCGAATATCGTAACAATCTGGGGTTTCTCCACCGGCTTCACTACCGTCGCGACCAGCAGCCGTCAACGTCATCACAGAAAGGGTCTACGTCGGGGCCCGGTAGAGCGCCAACGTCAGCGTCCAGGGCGGTATCACCGCAAGACGAAAAGATGCACCTGGATTACATTGAGTTGATACCCACCCGCATTGAAAAGTTTCGGGTGCGCAAGGCAAAAGTTTCTCCGGCGCCGGGTGCACGAGGTATCAGTGGTGCTGGTGAAGATGAAGCTGGTTGGCTTGCCAGCACTATGACGGAGCTGTGTCAGGGACTGGGCACCAAGGACGTGAAGACACTTGAGGATGGAAGGCTGATCATCAATGTTTCTTCTTGAGCAAACGAGACTAGGTGGGGCGTTGGTATGGGACAATCTGGGTGTTGGACGCTGTTTGCTGAAGAGATAATCTGTGAGTGGTGCCTTTGTCGGCGGTCGCCTCAAACAAAAACAAAGGAACTGTAAATCATGCAAGGAAGAGGATTGGGCACAAAGATGTTTAGAAACACCTCTGCTCCAGTTATTGGCATCGTTTTGCATCTATGATTGCACTGACTAAGATGGTTTTTGTATTTCATGCGTAAAACAAAATGAATGGGGCGATAAATTAAGTGTCGAGAAGAGAAAAGGAAAGAAAGTTGTATACACGCAAGACAACCAGATGCTGGGCAGCCGCGCTCCCTCGAGGAGGAAACCCTCCCAATCCGTCTAAACAAACGAGCAACCCCCTATCCCTTGCCCACTTCCATCGTTGCTCGCTTGCCACAAAATCTAGAAAAAAAGATCAAAAAGCAACCTCTCGCACGAAAAACAACAATGTGGACAGGATTGGAAGAGAAGAACCAACGAAAGAAGCGTGAGGATCGATCGATCATCACAAGGTTCATCCCCTTTTTCACTCTATACGCCATTTCCCATCCTCCTCTACCGAGATCTTCACCCCTCCCTCATCCACCTCCAAAAAGAAACCGTCAAAATACTAAACAAGCAATCCAAAAGCCCCTCCACGTCCAGCAAATCCGTTCCATTGTGCCCTCCGCATGCTGTTGTCTTCGAAGACGCCCCAACCGAAGAGACCATTACAATATCGTACACTTTGCGCCCCCGACCTTCTTCGTAAATGGATTATCCGCGAATTGCGGGAGGGTAGGTTGCGTGAGCGGGTCTGCCGTTGAGGTGACGTACGAGACCAGACTTTCAATCCATTTATTCAAAAAAGAAACCAATAAGTGATGAGAAGGGAAACTTTGTTAGTCAAGTTCAGCAAGGAATCGCTGCTGCTGAACAAAGCGGAGTTCCATATAGCAGAAGGTGGACATCCTTTTCCCGTATGTTTCCACTCTTTTTCTCATGATAGAAAAGCCGGAAATACTCACACTTTGCTCGCTTCTGACACCTTGATTCTCGGCAACGCTTCTTCTTGCCTTAACCGCTCGTTGAGCTGGAGGAGTTTCTGCAGTTTCAATTCTGACATCTTTTCGAGGAGTGATTACCCGTAGGTCGTGAGCTCTGAGAGTGAGAGTGGTGAGAGAGGACCGAGGTGGAAGTTGCGGTCGAGTTCGGATTGTTATCGGACCGCGAAGGGTTACGAGCCGTCTAGTCTGTGGATTTGTTTCCAATTATTGAGTGTGTGTGGTTTCCCGCGGTGGGTGAGAAGACGTAGACCGAATGCGGAAAATTGGAGTAAGAGAAAACCGGAAGATTGCGGCGTTGCGGGTTCGTTGCGGCCGTTGGTATATCGATCGTCAAAGACGTGGAAAAGTTCAGTGGGGACAGTTGGTAAGTTTGGGTCAACAACTTGGACAATGAAGCGATACAGCGATAGTTGCTACAAGCACATAAGTTCAAGACGAACAATACACGTCCTGCCGCGCTCCCATTCATTCCCATCACTTGGGTCAGAAGCCTCCATGCCGTGCCAAGAACATTGTTCTGCGTGTGAGTGCATGTTCGAATCCTGTTCACGACCTTTCGCTCACAAAGTTCGAGCGAAACCACACACCAGCCCACCAATAGACTCCAAAGGGATCACTTTGAGCTGATGTCTTGCTCAAATCTACGTCGGAGGAAAGCCGAACTCCTTCCGCCACAACACCCATCTCCCAAATTACGGATCCGCCACCCACAGCTGGTCAACACGAGGACGAGGTGGTGTGCACCAAAAGCACGCCTTTCCTTCTGATTAGGCACAGTTAGGTTGATTCAGTAGGGTTCGAGGGAAGAACTGGACGTTTTCGCCGCCGCTGTGGCTCCGCGACCTACCCAACTGTCAGAACTGGTCACGAACTAATCACGCATGGTCAAACAATAACCTCCGCCTTCTCCTCCGCCAAAGATTCCCAACCCAGCCCGCGGACCAAACACCTTCCGATCTGAGATATGATCGTTGAGGGAATAAAGAAAGACACTGTGCGCAAGCACTGTGTGGGGACGTTTACCTTTTGGTTCTGATTCTCGAGAGGGATCAAATGGCAAACACAAGAAGCTGAAACTGGAAGTCGACGGAACTGTAACGATTCGAGAGGAGGATTTGGTAGACTTGACGAGTGAAGGATAGCTTGAGTCGGGTTTGGGAGCGCACGCGGCACAAGGCAGATTGTCAGTCACGTAAAAATGTGGGATTTGGGGATTGATTTTTGGTGGTTGTGGTTGCGTGATTCGATTCGCAGGTGCTGAAAATCAAAACACAAGAATCAAATCCCAACAAACAACGAATTCCTACAAACAAACACACGCGACGAGGCTGTTGTGTTGATTCTTTCAAGTTCTGCTGCCCGATCACCCGACTCCCCGTTCGATCATTCCTTCGCCTCCGCCTCGTCGCCCGTGAATTTATGTGTTCTTCGGAGTTCCTTGACAAGGTTCTTCGTTTGTAGGTCGTTCTATTCAGATACATGCATAGATGACGGAGAGCCCGGAAGGTGAAATCATGTTGGAGAAGAGACCGCACGTATCAGCACATGGATTCCGTAGACTTATCACAGTACGGCTGCAATGAACCCTTTCTTCACATAGCAGTAGTAGCAGTCCGCATAATGCGTCATAAAACCCAACTTTATCAAATACATGGTCTATTTGCGAATCAATAAATACAAGTTCATGCCAACATTGATGTCCTGAAGTGCACGATAGTCTCCGGCCAAACACATAAGCAGACCCCCAAACGATGCATATACAGATCTGATGGACAAAGAACCGGAAAAAAAATATGATTAGAATCTCATTGTAAGCACATCCTTTTCCAGTCCACGCCAACCACCATGCAACCGCTGTTCTACAATTTTATTCGTCTACCGAGCCCTACTTCCTCCTCTTCCTCCACTCGAACGGGCACAATATAAAAGTGATTTAAACTTACACTTTAGATCCGCCTGTATCGTCGAACTTGAAGACTTTGCCATGCATAACATAATCAAAGTCGTCTGCCAAAGTCTTTTTAGAAGTCACTGCTGTCGCACCCCGACCCGTCCCTGCATTCGTCGCTGCAGATGCACTAACGTCCCTCCAGGCTTCCCTATCGTTCGGACCACCGTCTGTTATGGATGTCGCCAAAACAATGGTGAACTTTTCCGCAGCGGACATGGGATAGATTTCCGAGTTGATATCGAGTGTCAGTTCCATGTCGATATTCTCACTCGTGGCAACGATGCGCGAAACTTTGGAAAGCGAGCCCACGAAATATCAGTTGGAGTTCATCAAACACATCGAAGCTCAACAAGTGTGGATCACCTCTCGCAAAAATACACCAGAAAGATAACAAAAGCAACATTAATGGAATCACGGACATATCACACCTTTGTCAAACTTCTTCCCATGAGGGTCGACGTCTGTCACTTCGAAAATGTCTGAATATAGTTGCACCTGAGTGACAAACACAGGAAGGAACAGTTAGTTTCGAATAAATCCATTACTTCCGAAAATCAACACGTACACCTCGCTCGGACATTGAGATATATTTTGCCAACGATTTGTACGGGGAATGACCAGAGCCGTGTTGGCAACGCCAGTTTGAGCGCGGCGACTCACCTTGGACATTTTGAGGAGCAATGTTGTGTGCAACTCGGTGACACTTGAGGTGCTTTTGTGGTCGTTCGTGCAACATCAAGTGCCAAGTCAACCATCTTTTAGAGTAGACATTGACGCTCTTTTTGGTAGTGAAAGTGTTTGAAGTGGGGCGCCAAGTCAAAGTATGTATTGAGTCAAATCAGTCAAGAAAGTCAAGAACCCAGTGAACTCGAATCCTCTTCACGACTTTCACGTTCTTCAGTTACTTCTTGTAGAATGTTTGCCACTTTTGCCCGAAATTTCTCTAAAACCAAACTTTGACCTGCTGTGTTAAAAAAGTCGGTTTGGGGGCAGGTTTGGGGGATCACTTGTGCGTAAGGCATTCAAAGTCTGTGAGCAATAGCGATGCCAAGGTATTTAGGTGAACATCAGTGCTGAACGCAGGTTACATATGAGCAGAATTTGTTGAGTTGGTCCGAAGCCTGCTAGCACTACTGGCTGAAAACCTGCTCGTAGCTATAGGTAGTTCTGCGGGGCAAGGGCGCCGCACTAGAGAGGACATAAAAAAGAATCGTTCATTCACAAGGCCAACCATCGACTACCTGAAAACGAAAAACGAAAAAGACCTGAAAATGAAAAAGAAGATAGAAAGATCGGTGGCACACACCCCGTTCCATAACACCGTAGTAGCGCGAAAGGTTCGTCCTAAACCCCCCTCCGTCCTCCAAAATGGAAAAGTGTAAGTGTGTGCTTTAGTGGCGAAGACAGCCAAAGAACATAAAACAAAACTTGCACAATTACCTTCTGATTACGAAAAAATGCTTCTCAGAGAAAAATAGTTGAATAAGTGCTGCACCCCTGGTGGGGATCGAACCCACGACCTTTGGATTAGAAGTCCAACGCGTTATCCACTACGCTACAGGGGCCTGTTTGTATGTCTCGAATAAAATTTTATAAATTCACTAGCGCGACTTTCTCGCATTTTCTTACATTTAATCGTAACTGTACTACTAGAGTCGTGCTTGTACCAGCCCTACATTTTCAAACTCCGCTATTTGTGGAGTTGGATTTCACCATCGCCGCCGCCTTCGCAAGCACATGCGTCTTCAACGATACCCCCGACAAAAAGAAAATAAGCGCGACGATGCCAGAATCGTCCACCAGGTCCACCAGGTCGCGCTCTTACCAGGAAAGGAGGAAATCAAGAGAGACGACACACGGGACTGTATGGCAAGTGGCCTGATACATGACGAGACCTTCGCTGTCGGGTGAATATGTTCGACTTCGTTGATCAGACGACGAACCTCCGTGCTTCCAGAAAGTGGAGAAAGCTTGCTAGTACGCCAACGCAACGCTTTCACCGTCACACCCGTGAACCTCTGACAGCTAACGTTTCCCGCCAAAAAGCATCATCCCCGAACACACGACGTCTTTCTTCGTCTTCCAACACCCCATAGCCAATACCCTTTGATACCCCCATCACACCCATTCATTTATTGAAGCGGAGTTCGAAAAGTGTAACACAACTTTTAGGCTTTCCAATGCCACTCACGTTGCAACTTCCAAGAGCTTTTCCCCAGATTTTACTATGCTGCTTTTTGCCCTGGCGGCTACTTTTACTATCAATATTGTTCCCTTCCATTCATCATCAAATTTCGCCTTATTATCTTCGTACATTGTGCTCAAGGATTCGGTCCCTTCATGTCACCCTGGGCCACTACTGCCCATCGCTTTTGAGTTTCATAAACTGCTTGATTGGTCGAATGGGCGCCGCCCCCTTGGACAACTCCAACCTTGCCTTGAAATCATGCAGGTCCTCCCCGACAACAAGATTGTTCCTCGCTAAAATCTCGTCGATTAAAGCTCTCTCGCCTTCCGTCCCCGGAGAAGGAAGCACCTCTTCCCCATTTTCTGCTCCTTCTTCCTTTTTGGTCACTGCATTCTCCACTGTCTCCGCCGCAGCTTGTGTTGGCGCAATTGTTGATGATGTGAATGATGATATGGGTCCGACCTTCTTCTGGCTTCTCATGTGGACGCTTAGCTTCTTGCGGTGTGGATTGAGAATGCCACCCGACGACTTCACATCTTGAACGCTGAGGTGAGTGTCGAAAAATGCCATAAGTTCGTCACGGGTGATTGTCTTCACTCTCTCTGCATCGTGAAGATGCTCCGAAAATCCGAGATACCGCGAGTTGACGTGGGCCCACAAGCGTCGGGATTCTTGGGCAAGGTTCTTGTCTTTTTCAAGATACCGCGAGATGAGCGCGGCTTTGTGCTTGGAAAACTCCTCGTCGGTCATTTCGAGCAGGTATGTCTATTGAAGAGTTTGAAGGTCCGAACATTGTGTGGGCCGGCATGTGAAATCGGAATCGATATGTTAGTGGAACAGATCTCGTAGGATACAGATGCTCGATCCCGACAAGAACCCCCCCTCTCCTCCTATTTGAATGTGGAGCATGATTCACTTACCCGCATTTTCCTTAGGAAAGACTCGATCCGGCTCTCAACGTACAACGGATCTCGTTCGCTCTGAATGATGACTCTGAATCCGATAACACCCGTCTGCTTCCGCAATCCACTGAATACCATGTACCCTAGTAACCAAGGCCAGATCACGAAAGGCGTTTAGTGAGACAACTGAAGCCCCTTCAACACTTGGAAAGCGTTTCGCCAGCGACTGTACGACATTGGGAAAAAGACATACCAAGCTGCTCCTTAGTTCTCAACTGGTCAAAGCAGGGCTCGCGTACAATCTGTGCAAACAAGCTCGATAGTGCTCTCACATCCCCGTCTTCATAGTCGCCCAACTGAAGATAATACTCGATGGCTGAGTTGAGGTTTTCGGCGTTCGGAACTTGCCGGATGTGGATGAATGATTGACCTGCAAATAGGAAAATCGATGTGATGTGAGCGAATGGAAACATGTGTGCAATATCGGGTTGACGATCGATTGAAGAATTGCAGTTCAGACAAGGCCGGACAATGCGGAGTGTTCATCTACTATCCCGAACCTGGTCGCAGCAGTTGTGTCCTCATACTAGGGAAGCGTTGGAACATGGGCAGAGGCCTTGGCTTGAACGCATCCTCTACGATTTCTGCTAGTTTCAAGGCATCCTCTTCCTCCATATTGCCATGCACCATCCCCTCAATGTGAATTTGCGACAACAGGGGTGGGATGAAGGCGGCGATGTCTTCAGGTCGGATTCCATCTATTTTGTTGAAGAGAGCGGAAAGAGTTCGAGATTTGTAAGATTACAAGTTCACGTCACAAAACTCGAAACTCTGTGCAGAGATTGATCCACCCGCGCGACAAATCTTCTGTACTCACTTTCTAACTCTCGCAGTTTCTCGTCAGTGTGCCAAAGCAGCTCCTGCGTCATGTAGCTGACGTAATACATCGCATGCATGTGTGGTGAATCAAGCGACCAGTTTCTGTAACTCCGCATAAGCTTTCATTTGTTCGTTTCCGATTATTCATTTCAACACATTGATGTGTGTACAACAGGCGGGAGATGCGAGATATTAGTAATGTGCTCCTTCATGTTCGTAAGGAGACGACGTGAAATTCATAAAGGACGGGGGGGGGGGGGGGGGGGGCGGGTGAGGTGGGGTCGCGATAGGGGTTCGTCCCATGTGGCATGGTTTAGGGACTCACCCAACACCAACCAAAGGAAAAAAC